TTAAAAAAGCCCGTACTGTTAATATAGTGATACAGCTTAAAGATATTGGTAAGATTTTCATTTTTTTTTTTTTTTTTGAATTTTATTTTTAATTTTTTCAAAAAATTTGATTTTAAATTTCCGAACGATATTTTCTGAATAAAAAAAATTCACATGACAGCCATCTAGTGTCGAAAATTCGTACTAATTTTTTTTTGAATTTTCCCTTTTTCATTTTTTTTAAAAATCTTTTTTCAGTTCCGCCTGAAGAGCCAATAATTTCGTATAAATATTCACAAAGTATTTCACATCCATTAAAAGGCCTTATAGGACCATTCAATGAAGGTGATAGATTAATATTGGTCTGTACATCGTTTGGAGGTAACAACATTGATATGCATTTTACCTGGTTTTTTTTAAAATACCGATTTTTCTTAATTACTGTCACAATATAGGAAAACCAAGACCAACATTAACATGGTGGAAAGATTATTCAATTATTGATGATAGTTTTGAATATAAAAGCAAAGATGGTTTGTATTTTTGTTTGGATATTTTTAGATTTTAAATTTTTAAATTTTTCAATCTTTTCTTCTTTTTTTCATTTTCATATGTTTGGTGACATCACAAATGAACATAACCAGTAACAATTAACGAACTTATTATTGAATCATTAGCTCGTCATCATTTATTATCAATATTTACATGTCAATCATCAAATAATAATATTACAATTGCATCATCTGCATCCATTACAATTGATCTTAATTGTATGTTATCATTTTCAAATTTTTTTCGAATGAATTCTCAATTATTTTTCATTTATTCATAGTAAAACCATTGGAAGTAAAAATTCATCAAATATCCGCATCATTATTGGCAAATAATGATGCAAAATTTGAATGTAAAACATATGGATCAAAACCAAAAGCCCGTTTATATTGGATGTTTAATGATGTTCGTTATGATACAACATTACAAGGTTTGTTCATTTGGTCATTTTCATTATGAAAACCTTTAATATTTCGAAACAATTAGGTGATATGCAAACAATATCAATCATTAGCCTGCCATTAAAACGTGAACATAATGGTCATATTTTATCTTGTTATGCGGAAAATCCAAAAATTTTCAATTCAACAATTTCCGAACATTTTGTTCTCAGTGTAGAATGTATGTTTATTGAATGATGATGTGGTGGTTGTGTTTTCCAATGTGTTTTTTCATTCATTCATTCTGTAATTTGAATCATTTGTTTAGATAAACCTGAATTAATATTACAACTTGGTACATCAACCATATCACTTGATACAATACAAGAAGGTAATGATATTTATTTTGATTGTATATTGGATGCAAATCCAATGCCAACAATACCATTAATATGGCGTTTTAATGATGAAATATTGGAACCAAGACAAGGTAAATTTTTTTGTTGTTTGGTGAAAGAAGCTCTTCATTTCATTTCATTTTTCTACACACAAACAAAACATAAAATAGGAATAATACAAAGCAATTATTCATTGGTATTACAAAAGGTACGACGACATATGTCGGGTAATTATAAATGTGAAACAACAAATCAACATGGTAGATCAATATCAAATTCAATTCAATTGAATATACGTTTTGCACCATATTGTAAATTTAAATCAACGTATGTATACTATACATTTGTTTTTGTTTTGGTTTTTGAAACTGAATTCAGTTCCAAATTATCGATTTTTTGACTAATTTTCTCCTTTTCTGTGTTTTTTTCATTTCGCTTTTCACTGCCAATCTTCGATTTTTTTAAATAGTTTAGCATATGGTCTTTCATTATTCGAATCAAATGCCTTAATATGTGAAGTTGATTCAAATCCAATGCCCATTTCATTTCAATGGAAATTTGAAAAACAAATTGAACTAACAACATTTCGTTCGCTTAATTATAGGTTTGTTGTTTTGCTTTTTTGCATTTTTGTTTGTGCTAAAAATTTGATATTGATTTTTTAACAAACACCAGTTCATTATTATATTATCGACCAAATTCAACACATCATTATGGTACGATTGAATGTATAGCCAAGAATGATGTTGGCCTACAACAAATTCCTTGTAAATATCATATTATCGATTCAGGTAAACATTAAATTCTTGTTTCTATTAAAGAAACTTTAATTTTGAAAATTCCTTTGAAAATTTCCAAATTTAGGTCCACCAAATTTTCCATTTTTCTGTCAATTACATAATCAATCGATTGATAAGATAACTATAAAATGTATGAATGAAAATGATTATCGTTCGATGTTGGATAATGGTGATAATGGTGATGGTGATGATAATGCTAATGAGCAACAACCACAACATAAACATTATCTATCATCATCATCAACAGAAATGAATCAAAAACAACAAAAAAATAATAATTTTCAAACAATATTCATTCATCCAACAACACATTATATTGCCGAAATTTATGATAAACATGGTCATTTATTACAGAATTTAACATTAAATCCACCGGTGCCTTTTTCAAACATATCAACATTAAGTATGTCTTTTTTTCTGTTTTAAATCGATTTATGATTCAATATTTTTCCTTTTAGTAAATCAAACACGTACAACAACCACATCAACAATGTTTACATTTCAAATAAATCATTTAATGGAATCAAGTAATTATAAAATAAAAATCTATGCACAAAATTCCAAAGGAACAAGTAATCATATGTGGATTAATGGACAAACATTACGAAAAGCAGAAAAATATATTTATAGTAATTTTACTGATTCAAGTTTATCAATATTTTCAACAACAACAAAATATTATGCATTAAATCATATAAAAATCATTATGATTAGTATTTGTATATTTTTAATCATATTGGTTATTGTAATTGTTATTTCAATAACATATATGTCACGATATTGTCAACGAATACGAATGTCGAAAAAGAAAAATTTATCAAAACAACGGAAATTGAATAACAATAACAATAATAATGGAAAATTTCATAGTGATAACGATAATAGCCTGGATGATGATGATGATGAAATGGTATTGAATGAATATCATCTACGAAATGATGTTTGTTCAACAGTCGATATTGTTGATATTGTAAATGGAACAACAACAACAATTAATACATCGACAATTGGATGCGGTGACAACGATAATGCTAATAATGATAATGATAATCGTCATAATAATGGCTATGGTGGTAGTACTACATTAGATAATTTAGCCATACCAACTGTTTATACGGAAACAAATGTTATTTGTAATGAATATTATAGTAATATGTTATGTGCTGGTTATACTACTAATGGTGGTGGTGGTTCAAAAATGGATCCAAATACAAAATCCAATATGGAATTATTAAGTTTAGATTTATACAGTATGAATCCTACTACTACAGCTGCTATTTCAGCGAATAATAATCATCATCATAATATTGATGGTCGTAATCATATTTTAAATAATAAAGGTCCACCAGATTTAATACCAACTTTTTATTATAATCCATCAACATCTACAAATAGTGATGATTGTACAACATTAGCTACTGATGATCATACTGATTGTTAATGAATTTAAAATTAACACTTTGATCGACTGGATGTTCATTGAAATTGATAATATTCAATCATACCACCATTTTTCTGTAATGATAATAACAATAGCATTGTTGAACGATAAAATTTCCATATTATTAATGGATAACAGCTTAATACTGAAAATGAAAAATTCAAATCAATTACATATCATCATCATTATAAACAAACAAACACATGGAATTTACTTACGAAATGGAGTGCTCAAATTTTTAAATACATTGAAAATGTTTGGCATTTTACGACAACGAACATTATTGCGTATTGCCAATGGCTGCTGCGGTTGTTGTTGCTGTGGTAGTAAATCATCATCAATATTATCAACCGCATCGAAAACATCAAACATTGGCGATAATTTTGTCATTATCGGATGATGATCAAATTGATTGATGCACATTTTTTTGATTCTTGATTATCTAGAGTTTTACAAAACAAAAATATTAGTATAAAAAATTGTCTGTGATGTTTAAAAATATTGTTTTCACAAATCCAAAAAAACAACAAACATTTTCAAATTGTAAAAATACCAAAGAATTTAGAGAGAGAAAAAAAGAGAGAATTTATCTGGTTTTACTATTGTTGCTGTTATATGTGTTTATAAATTTATTTATTATTGTTGTAAATATTTTATTATCATTATTATTACCTGTAAATAATTTTTTTTTGTGTTTACATTCACTGCAATGAAAAGAAGCTAAAAAATGTTTGTAACAAACATCCAAACACACACAATGTGTCTCAATGTAAAAATTTTCTAGATAAAATCAAATGATGGAAAACAAAGTTTTTTATTTAAATTATCGAAAAAACAACACAAAAAAACAAAAGAAGAAATTTGAATGTTGTTTGGTTTTACTGCTGCTGTTGTTGTTTTAGGAAAAACACAGGGAAAACAAATTGATATTGCATATCAATCGGTGAATATATACGTGACCATCATCAAAATGAAAATAGTTTTTCTTTTGGATGAAACAAAAAACAATGTGAAATACACAAACAAACATAAAAACAATCAATACCTGTGTGTATAACTTTTGGGGAAAAATGCGGAAAATAAATAAATAAAAAAACTGTGTGTTTGTGAATGAAATGAAACAATGATGATGATTATGACTAAAAAAGAAAAATTTGAATGACTGAATATATATTGGACACACACACACGAACACCAGTGTGTGGTTAATAATATAATTACATAATTTATCTATTTCACTTGGATTCATGAATAATTGAATCACTGTTTGCTGTTGCTTGTTTGCTGCTTGCTTGTTATGTTTTTTTTCACTAAGGGCTATCTCATCATATTATTGAAATATTATTCTATCAATAAAACATGATGATGATTGTTGACGAAGGGATTATTATTACCTAGCTAAACCTTTATTATAATATATGGACTGTGGACGATAAAAAAGAATGATACATCATTCATAATCATGTGAAAATATAGGTACAATGAACTTTTATTTAAACGTTTGTTTGTTAATCTCAGGTTGTTTACGGTTGTTGTTGTTGTTTGGATAATAAATATTATGAAAAAGAATGGAAGAAGGGTAGAGTATAGTGGCTGATTATATAATCGTTATGGTCAAAAAACTACCAGGATACCGAATATAATCAACAACAATGACAATATTGTTGAATTGATTTGTTGTTTTTGTTTTTTTGTTGTTTTTTTCTTTCTTTTGTTTTCCCATTTGGATTTAACACAAAAAAAATCACATTGAAATACTTTACCTGAGTTTTTTTTCACTGTTTCAAAGTTGTTCATTTAATCAATTTTTATCATCATCAATATCATCAATTTCTTAAGAATGTAACCTGATCAAAACGACACATAAAACTTTTTCTTTTCTCTTCTTCGATTCATTTGTTATGATTAACTTTTTTCAACTTTTTCTTCTTCAGGTTGCCATAGAGAATTTGTAGAGAATTTATTCAGGTTCTTTTTTGGCGCGCCACACACACACACATTTTTATTGATTGGCTAAGCAAAAGCAAAAAAAAGTCAAGTTTCCAAATAAGTTTTCTTCTTGGTATTTCCTATTCAAATCAATCAATAATAACGACAAAAACAACAAAATTGTGCCAATTCAACAAACACACACAACCAAAACCGACCAAAAGCCAAAGAAAATTCAATGTAAAATTTTCATTTCAAATGGCAACAGTGTTAAAAATAGAATAAAGAAAATTCATAATAACCAGATAATGTAAGTCAGTTTTGTTTATTTTTTTGAAAAAATTCATCATTATTCTACCTGAAAATAATCATTTTTAATCACTGCCACCAACTATGTCAAATGGGTGTAGATGTCGATTGATTTGAATGAAATTGAAAATGTTTTTGTTGGTGTTCGTATACGGCCATTCATATCCTTTTCATTTGAAATGAAATTGTTTTTTTTCCAGAAATCTTTATCCATTTGATTATGATTCCTTAATTTTTTTTGTTTGTTTGTTTAACCCTCCGTTTCCCAATTGATCATTGAATTTTTTCCATTTTTTTTCTTTATAATACAATCAACGAGAAAAAAAACGTTCAGCCAAAACAATTGTTTCATTATTAGATTCAAACAGTATAATATTAAATCATCCAGAAGATGATGAAAATCGTAAACGTTTCATATATGATCGTATATTTTGGTCACATGATGGTTTTACTGAAGCACAAAATGGTCTTTTTGTTGCCGATAATAATCATCCAAATGGTGAAATTTATGCCGATCAAGTATTTTGTTTGTTGAAAGTAGAAAAGGATTTAAAATTGATTTTTTCTTTCATTTTTTTCATTGACAGCAATGTATATTTCAAACATTAGCTTTACCATTGCTCAATAATGCCTGGAGAGGTTATAATGTATCATTATTTTGTTATGGACAAACCGGATCGGGAAAATCATTTACAATGGTTGGTCTTGGTAATAATAAAGGATTAGTACCAAGAATTTGTGAAGAATTATTTAATATTATTGATAATCGTAAAGGAATGGATATTAATACTGAAGTTAATTTATCAATGTTGGAATTATATTCAGAAAATGTACGTGATCTTTTAGATACGGAAACTTCGGTCAAAAAGAAAGGTTTAAAAATTCGTGAACATCCTGTAAAAGGTTTTTTTGGTATGTTTTATTCATTTATCTGTGGTTGTTTCTTTTAAATAAACAAAGTTTTTTTCATTACCAAGCTGAAGGACTTATACGATGTACAGTATTATCACAAAAAGAAATTATGGAAAAATTTGAACAAGGTGTTACGAATCGTAGTATATCGGCAACAAATATGAATGAAACATCATCCCGATCACATATGATCATAACAATAACGTTAAGTCAACGTTCAATGAATTTGAATGGTAATGAAGAAACAAAAACATCCGTTATAAATCTTGTTGATTTAGCTGGAAGGTAATTATTATTTTTGAAAGAAAATTGTAATTTTCAAATTCAATTAATCGAAATTAATAAATCAAAAAAGCGAACGATTAACCGATTTAGCTGGTGGACGAAATTCAGTAACTGGTGATCGATTTCGTGAATCCGTAGCTATTAATCAATCATTATCATGTTTAGGAAATTGTATACATGCATTAGCTGAAAAAGCTAATGGTCGTAATGTTAAAGTACCATATCGTGAATCAGTACTAACCCGGTTGTTGATGAATGCATTGGGTGGAAATAGTAAAACGGCGATGATTGCCAATATTAGTCCAGCTGATATTAATTATGATGAAACACTTTCAACATTACGTTATGGTTTGTACATTTGTGATATTAGATTATTTTGAAACCGATAATAATCATTGATCATTCTATGGTCTGATAATTTTGATTTTTGCTTTCTTTTTTGCTTTGTTTTAATAATGATTTTATAATTGATTACTTTATAGCCGATCGAGCAAAACAGATACAGAATTTTGCCAAAATCAACATCGATAATACGGATAAAATTATCAAAGATCTTAAAGAAGAAAATGAAAAATTGAAAAAATTATTGGAAAAAGAAGCAAATCAATCGGCAGTGGCTGCAGCAACGGCTGCCGCTGCTGCTGCTGATGCTGCAGCCAACCAATTTTTTCCATTGTCCAAATCATCGCAGTCCTATTATGGTATTTCTTTTTTGCTCCAAAATGTTATTAATTAATTAATTGATTTCCATGTTTTTTTCCCAATATAGATGATGATAAAATCAGATTAGAAGAAGAAATTCAAGCAATAATGAAAGAAAATGAAAGAAAATTAAATGAATTACGACAAACATATGAAGAACGATTACAAAGGGAACGTGATGATCAATCACATAAAGAATTGGAAGAAAATCGTAAACAAATGGAAAAAGAAAAACAGGAAAAAGAAACGAATCCATATTTGTCCAATCTAAATTTTGATGAACAATTAGTTGATAAAATTATTTATATAATACGTACGGGTACAAATTTAATTGGTAAAAGTTCTGATTGTCCAATACAGCTAATGGGTCCAATGATACAGGATCATCATGCAGTAATTAATCGAACGGAAAATGAAAAAATCATTTTAGAACGTATTGATGATGAATGTCGTATACTGTTGAATGGTGATATTGTTACACATAAAGTTAATCTTGCACATAATGATAGGTAAGTTATGTCACATTGTCACATTGAACAACGAAGCTAATTTGTTTGTTTTTCCCAAAATCAATAGGTTACTATTCGGTACATCACAATTGTTTGTTTTCCGAAATCCATTGGATAATCAAAATTCACATGGAAATTCATTAAATGTAACATATGAATTAGCACAAGAAGAAATTGCATCAAAATCTGGTTATAATTTTCATAATGATGATAATTCATTTGAACAAGCATTATTAAATAAAGAATTATTAGAATTAATTCCAGCTGTTGAAGAAGCTAATGCTATTAGTGAAGAATTAGAAAAAATGGTACATTTTGAAAATGTACTTGTATCGCCTATATTTTTGGGAAAAATTGGCCGTAAACCTGAAGTATGATATGATAAATATTTGATGAGAGTTTTTTGAATTTAATATCCGCATTTTTTTGCTTTGATTTTGGTTTTGATTTTTGATTTCTCACACTAGCCATATGTACATGTATTAAATTCAAATACAGGTCAAGAATTTCTTTGGAGCAAGGAAAAATTTCTAGATCGAATGTATTTTATGAAACAAATGTATCATTTTTATGAAACTGGTGAAGAAGAATGGGATGTTCCATTGGTATGTTCTGACCTAGTTTTTTTTCGTCTATTGAATTATGATTTTTTGTTTTGTTTTGTTTTGTTTGTTTAGGAAGAAGATCCATTCACCGAAAATCTTAATGCTGAATGTTTGATAGGTACTGCACAATTATATTTACAACCACTTGCCTATATGATTGAAATTAAAGAACATCTTTCGGTAAATGATTTTACTGGACAAGAAATTGGTGTTATTAATATTGAAATTATACCATGTGATGAAAATGGACAAGAATATGGTGAACAAGATGATGTTTATGTGGATACACCACAGGAATTATTAGGAAAATCATTGAATTTTATTGTCAAAATAATTGGATGTCGTGGTTTGCCAAATAAATTTACTGTAAGTCCTTAAATTATTTGTTGTTTATGTATGGTCGAATAACTCTTTTTTTCAAATGGTTTTTTCGTTTCTCTAAAAGGAAATATATGTAAAATATTTAATGTTTATCGATGAAAATTATACAATTTCGGATAAAGTTGGCGTAACTGTAAATCCAAATTTTAATTTCAAAAAATTATTCCATTATAGTCACGTTACACAGCCATTAATCGATTATTTAAAAGAAGGAATATTAAATATTGAAATATGGGGACGACAATTACTGAAATCCGGTTATTCAATAACAAATGGACGTTATGAAACGGGTAAAGAAATGCTACAAGAAGAATTATCTAAAGCCGGTTCAGAATTGATGAATGGTTTTAAAATGAACGGAAGGGTCATCGATCCAAACAAACAAAGTATTATTGTTGAATTATTGTTGTTGAAAAAACAGCAGGCACGAATGCATCAAAGAATTGTAATGTTTTTTTTCTTTCTTATTTCAAATGATGTTGAAGTCCATAAATCTGAACCAAAAAATGACATATGTAAATTAATGATGTATTTTTTTTTCTTTTCTTTTCTTTTTCTTTCTTTCTTAACCCCGTTTTCCCCTACAACGAAAACATGTAATGTTTGTTTTGTTTTTTCTACTCTCCACTGAAGGATAACATTAAAAAATTGATTGAAATAGCCGAAAAACAACGTTACAGACTAATACCAGTTGAAATATTAAAAGAGCTAATATTTACAACATCAGCCGAATCGGCTGATGATATACTATCGAAAATGTTGAATGGTTAGTCACATTCATTACATTATTTTTTTATATAAAGATTTTCAATCAATAATTAATTTTTCAATTTCTGTTTCCAATGTTTCATCATCCTCTTAACCTAATAATATTTTTTTTTGCTTCTTTTTTCTCGTTTCTAATAACATCCTTCTTCATCTTTAAGATGGTTATCCAATGATGATGAAAAATACGAATCAATCGACAACATGTACAATATCTTGAAAATATTTATTTATTTATCATCAAATTCTTTGTATAACCCGGAATCCATATCATCATCATCATCGACATCGACATTAACATCATTTCGAAATTCTTGTGATCAATTTTATTTTCATCATCATCATAATCATCAATGTTTTTTTCTTCTTTGAATGTTATTTATTTTTTAGGAAAAGCAAAAAATTAATAAGAAATACATCAAAACCAAACCAAAAATAAATACAAAATAAAAAATACAAATATTTTTTCACGTTCATCATCATCATCATTACATTGAATTTACATTATTATTATTAATTTTATTGTAATGAGATCAGAAATGACATCAACAACAAAAACGCCCACCACCTCCACCATAGTTGATGATAATTTGATTGCCTTGATGGATGGATGGATGGATTGGATTCTTTTTCCATATAAATTATGATGTTTTTTTCTGGTTTCTTTGGGTCCCATGTTTGATGGCAACATTTTTTGTTTTCATTAAGAAAAATTGGGTCGATCAAATGAAAATGCTCGATTAGTTGATGTGCCATGTTGTTGTTGTTGTTGTAGGTGTGATGAGGCAAAATGTGGCCGTATACGATTAAGACTCATGTCTTATTTTTTTGTCCAACAAAAATATCATTATTATTATTATTAGTAGGATTCGTTGCCGGAATAAATCGATGAAATGAAAGAAATATGGAAATAAAAAAAAGAGAAAAAGAATGAGAGAAAAAAACGGAAACAAATTAGAAAAGGAAGAATTCTTTCATATAAATATAGTTTTTTTCCTGTTTGATGATTAATGATGCGAAATACATACTGGAATCACGAATGGATGAATGTCGTTGTTGTTGTTGATGATGATTCACTGCTGTTGAATTAGGTGGCAGTATTATTCCATCAAGCGGATAGAATTGTCGATGATGATGATGGTGATTATGATGATGATGACTGGCTTGTGTAGCGGATATTATAGCCGTATTATATATTTGGTTCATTGTTGTTGTTGATGGTGATGATAATAAAGAATTTTTTCCATTTTTCTGTCCAACAACAAATCTTCGTTCATATTCATAATTGTATAAATGACTAGGAGATTCATATAAATGAGATGATGGATTTATATTGTTGGATGTTGTAGAATTTGTTGTTATATGGCTAGGACTTGCAATAATATTAAATCCATTACCATAAATACATGATGATTGATGTGTTGGATAGATTTTTGGTGAGCCTAACATTGACATTTGACCATTGGCTGTTGATGGTGGTGGTAATGTTAAAAATGTTTTACTTGTATCCGACAATATACTAATAGAATTTTCACGAGTTTGTTTTGAATCAATGGAAGATGATGCTGATGATTCTATTTGTTGTTGTTGTTGTTGATGTTGGCCAATTGTTAAATTATTACAATTTGTTGCAGTATAACAATGATGATGATTATGATGATCATTTATATTTTTCGATGATCGATTATGATAATTTTTATCGAAACATTTTACAATCAAATTTAAAAAATATTTGATTCTTGCAAATAATAAAAATGTTAATGAAATTGTAATATCAATACCAATCATTGCATATGATGTATGATGATAATAAAGTGTTAAACATATACAACCAACAATACAAATTATATATATCACAATAGCTGTCATCCATATTATTGTATGTTTACATCTGATAAAAAGATAAAAAGAATGATATAGTCACTATATGATAAACAAACAAATATTCATGATTATTTACCTGTTAAAAAATAATTCTTTAATATATTTTTCCATTAAACATAAATCTTGTGTTTGTTGAAATGTAAATTGTACCATAATATTGTTTGGATAATCATATTCGGAAAAGAAACGTTGTGAACAATGTAAATAAATTATACCAACGGTAAGTATCTATTTTAAAATAATGGAAAATAGAAAAATTTTGACAACAACAACAAAACAAAGATTGAAATTCCACTTACCAATGTTATCTGTAAAACAGGTGATGTAACAAAAAATGCAGTAACTATTGAATCAAAATTTGGCCAACAATTTGTTAGAAAATTCTTGTATAATAATGTATACAGAATGAAAAGATTTATCAATGGAAACAATATGGCAATGATTAATTGTAAATGTTTTGAACGTTTGATTGCACATAAACTATTGTAATAATTTTTAGTTAAATAAATTTTTCCCGCCAATAATATGATGATCACATTTTGAAATAAAAATACAGTGAATAATGAACAAATCAATTGTAATTGAAAAATAATTATAAACATTCGTGAACGACACCATTTTTGATTTTTGATTGACCAAAATAATGAATTTTCATTATTATTAATAAACAAGCCGATAATATTGTATGTTGAACTTAATTCAATCAATGTTCGGACAATACAGATCAATAATAATATTAGGAAATTGGATTGATTGAAATAATTTTGATGATATCTGTTTGGATAAGGATTTGTTGGAAAATGCGTATGCATAGAATGGCCAACCACAGAAAATAAATCAGACAAAAAAAAAATGAAAGAAAATAATGAGATGATGTTTATATGAATATCGCGAATAACACAAAAGCATCAATAAATTATTACCTGATTAAAAATAATGCCAACCATATATAGATGATAAGTATTAATGATAATATTCCACTATGTTTGGATAATATCAATTCATTTGACATTTGATTATCATATTCATCGGGTAATTCCTATATTTCGATAATGATAAGAGAGAGAGAGAGAAATGGAAATGATAATGCAATTATTATTAGCAGAGTAAGTGGATAAATATTCCAAGCTGGAAAATAAATTCAAGTTGACATATAAATAAATAAATTAAGCACTAATTTGGGTAGACAACGAATGGAAAAAATGGAACTATATTGTTGGATAATAACAAAATTCGGATGAGTGGAAACAAACAAATATGTATGATATGACATACCAAACTGGTCAAATTATAAGTTGATTGTCGTTGTTGTTGTTGTTGATGATTTTGATAATGATGATTATGATAATGTTTCGTTTTTGGACCAATAGCCAATATTGTACAAATAGATAAATCAATAACCGGTCTACAACGACATATTGAATGTGTTTGATTCGATTCTATCAATATACAATGTTCACTGGACCAATGACTGATTTGAAATGAAATGAATGAAAGAAACAACAACAGAAAAAAAACATGAATAACATTTTTTGGAATTTTGAATGAACAATAATATTTACTTGAGCGATTCATCCCAATGAACACATTGATGATGAACTGTAAAACTATCATCATCATCATGATGATTATCATTAGTATATTCGACTAGATGTTTGAAAATGATTTCAAAAACATAATGATTGTTGAATGATGATGATGATGATAATGGTGATGATGTTTCCGATTGAATGACGCCATTCAATGATGATGATGTTTGTTGTTGATGTTGATGATGATCGGTCAGAATTTTTTCATTATTAAATTGAATAAATTTTATCGTTTGACCATTGATAAATGTATCGATCACGTGATCATCATCATCATGATGATCTTGTATTAATGATTCAGTCGATTCGATTTGTATTAAATTCAAAAATGATTCAGACATTGTTTGATCATTATGTTGATCACCATCATCATTATCATTGATGATTGTTGCTGTTTGAAAATGATCCATATTGGATAATTGAAAATAGTTTTCCAAATTGATTGGTATCAACATTGAAAAGTAAATATTTTCTATTGAATCGAGTAAAAAAAAGGAAAGGAAAAACAACAAAACAAAAAACAATCGATATTTCCATTCGATTAATCGATTGTCAGACAACAACAACAAAAAAAAATTCATTCGAAATTCTGTTTCCCAACTTACCATTATCAATGTTGTTGTTGTTGGATTGTTTCGGTACATTGTTGTTGTTGTTGTTTAATATTAAAAAAACTTTGACTTTTAAATCATTGGAGGACATCGTTGTTGTTGATGATGGTAATGATAATAATTCATATCTAAATTCACTAACATTCATTTGATTTTTTTGTAGTTGTTCGTTTAGTTTATTCCAATTCAAATGAAATTCATTTAATAATTTGGTTATTGAAAAACATGATATGACTATTGAAGAATGAAAATGTAAGTAAGATTTTTTTGGACTTTGAAGAACCCAAAAATTTGAACTTACCTAAATTTGATGATTGTTTAAGCATTTCTTTCGAATCATTTGAACTCGAAATTGATAATCGTTGATTACGACAATGTAATGCTGAATATTTTCCAGTAATATCGATTAAATTTATAGCAGCTGATTCACGACGTATATCAGGTAAATCTAGCCAACTTGGTTGATTATTCTGGTTCAATAATTCGGATATAATCTCGAAAATGGTCTAATTGAAAGCCGAAAACCGAAAATTGAAAAAAACAACCGTAATAACAAGAACATCAAACTTACATCCAATTCCGCCAATTGTTTATGACTATTATCATTGAAAAAATTATCAAAATAATTTCCATTATTTTGATAATAACGTATCGACCAATTTTCCATTAAAACAATCAATTGATTTAAATCACCACCATATAATGTTGTCGTCGTTGTCGAATGTTGTTGTTGTTGTTGAATATTGGCCAATATTGATTGCCAAATATCATTACGAAGATTTGAATTCTGCAGTGAGGAGGAACAAGAGAAACAAGCAAGCAAGTTAAGTTAAGTAAGTAAAAATGTTTCAGTAAAAACTGAAAAAACAACGATATTTTTCAACAATGAAAAATTATTTAGAAATTTTTTTCGTTTGCAGGAAAAAACATCGAAGTCGTTGTCGTGTAATGTCTTGTACAAGAGAAAAGATCATTTTTTATCATTATACGATCGAATGCAACGATGTGCAAAATCATCATCACGATGAAATAAATCAAACTTTTTTGATTTTCTCTCTCCCTGTGTGTTTTGCTTTGTTTTTTATTCTATCTGTCAATTCAATAACCAGGGAAATAGAAGACAGAGGAAAGAACCACTTTGGATTTTTTCTAGTTTAGTTTTTCCTGCTGAATGCTAGACACGCGACGTTTTTTGTTTCCAAAAACATCGATCGAAAATAATGATGAAAAGTTTTTTAAAGAAGAAAATCTTACTTGTAAAGAATTTAACTGAAGAAGCCAACGTGAATGACATTGTGAAAGATCAGGAAAATGTATCCACAATGATGAAGCTCGATTTGATTGAAAAAGCTGATTGTTGTTGGCCATCACCTTTGGATTCAGCTGTTGTTGACTAGTAGTTGATGATTTTGTATTTGAAAAATGATTATTTTTTCCATTGCTGTTGTTGTTTACAGTGTTTCCACATTTCCATTGTGCCAATCCTAAAAGAAAGAAAAAAAGAAAAAGAAAAATTCAATTTAATTATGGCTATTTTTATGCAGTTTTACAAAAAACAAAAAACAAAAAAAAACATGACCAAAACGAGAAAATGAATAATGATGATTATCATGAAATTTTAAACATAATTAAACAAAGAATTCTGTGATGATAAAAAATTCAGAAAAAAAATTCAGAATTTTATGAAATTCTGGATTCTTTTGTTTCGTGTTTGGTCTGGTGTTTAGCCAGAATCATTATTGAAATTTTAACCATAAAGAAATTTTCTGGAAAACCGGATAGCATGCACATTTTGGTTTGTTTGTTTTTTTTAGGTTTTTTTTCTGGTTAAAAAAAACATACCCGAAGTATCATGTGGACATGGCCTAATTGCAATAGAACCGGATAATGTTGGTGGCCATTGAATATTACGATAAATTTTTTGATTGCATGTTGTTGACATTGTTGTTGTCGACGACGAAGATGATGGTTCGGCCAATATATCCATCATATTTGACCAATATGGTTTTTGGTTATTTTGGGTAGATGATATATCGGATTTATCTGAAAAGCTCTTCAAATCCGATTGATTAGGCACAATATCTAGGCTATTTTGCTGTTGATGATCATTATCAAAACCAATTGTTGTCGAAATAGTCGTCGTCATTGATACAGAATGATTATCACTATTTTTCCGTAAAAAATATAAATCCGATGATAATACTAAACCAATCGTTGTTGTTGTTGTCGAAGCTGAAGAATCATTATTTGCCATCATCGATTTATTCAACGATAAGATGCGTTCCATTTCTGCGTTTGTGAATAATAAATTATCATTGAAAAAAAAGTTAACAAAGATATTCGAAAGAAATCAAAACTGGTGATTTATAACCAAAAAATAATCATTTTTTTCTCAGTAGTTGACTATAGGAAAGATCAAAGATTATCAATATGAAGAGAAGAGAAAATCCTTTAATACGTTCGCTACCACCATTATTATTATTGTGATCGAAAATATCATTTAAAAAAAAGAAAGCATTTTTTCGTTTGAATACTGTCAAGATAAAAAGTGTTCAAATTAACAAATTCATACAACAGCATTTCGATCCAAGCAGCAGACAAAAAAATGCATAAATAGAATAAGGTGTTATCTCTTGCTTGTCTGTTTTGAAACCTATCATTGTGAATATCATTAACCAACCAACCCAATCCAAAAAAAAGACAGTCAATGAAAATGGCGAGATAATAACCTTTTTTTCCCTTTTTTCATCCATTCAATATCCCGAGAAACAACGAGAATAATCGAATGATATTGAGAGAAAAACGAATGAAAAAAATTCATTGAAATCGAAAACGAGAATGGAAATACTTTTTGTGTGAATCCGATTCATTAATTTGTTTTTTTTTTGTTTCTTCATTTTCAATGATTATTATTATTGGATTTTTTTTCTTCTTTCCATTTTAGTTTCCCGCATATAATTTCGTAAAAGTAATAAACTTTCGAAACGAAAAAACTAACTGAAAACAAAAAAAAAATCGAATCCAATCCAATTCAGTGAAAGTCAAAAAGGAAAAAGCAAAGTATGTGATTGAACTTTTTTTATTATTCACAATTTTTTTTCCAAATGATTCTTGGCTTTCTGGTTTGATGATGATGAAGATAATGATAATAATAATAATGATGATACTCTACATCTCTATATTCATCCCAAATATTAACCCTTTCTTTCGGCTCCATCGTCGGATAATGAATACGAAAAACGAAAAAAGATTAAGCAAAAATATATTTTATTTGAATAGATATTATTATTATTATGAAAACATTATTATTATAATCATCATTACCATATTATAGTTGATCAGGAAAAAAGAAAAAAAATGCTAAAGAATCATTCATTTACATATAGTAAATCCATACATACACACATAATATACACATGACGGTTACGAGTTAATTAAAATTTTTCGAGTCGATTTTTGGCCCAAAAAAAAATCCATTCACTTTGTTTTGCTTTTTTCATTCACTTTCAAGAACCAGAACCGAAAGAAGGAAAAGATTTTCTTTGAGTGAGAAAAGTAATCATCATCATTCTGGATATATCATTTTCAATTTCTCTGAATCATTTCTTCTTCTTTTACAAGATTTCATTCATTCATTCAATCCTGACTAAACTAAAGTAAAGTAAAGTAAAAGTAAAATAAAAAGTGTAAAGACAGAACAAAATAATAATAATGTATGTTTTAACCATGTTTATTATAATCAAAGTGACATTATTCAATTTATTTTTTTCTGTATTTCTTCAAATTCAATTCACTCAAGAATCCGAAATGAATTCAACTTGTAAAACTTGTTCAAAAACAGTTCCAAACTATTGCACACGCCATACACAGACAGAATTGAGTGCAAATGAATGAAAGAAAGTAAAAAATGCACGAATATAGGCTTGAAAATTAGAAAGAAGAAAAAAAACCAAAAAGATCTGTCAATATCTTATTGGATTCGTGGATTCTGTGTGTGTGTTTGAAGGTGATATGGCTTTTTTTCGCATTTTCAAATTTCGTTCCATATCGTTGAATTCGAGAAAGGAAACGAATAACAGAATTTCAAATGAAAAAAAGACGAAAAACGAATCACCGATACCATCATCATCATCAAAATTCCAAATCATTTCACAATTGAAAAATGTTGAACAAAAAAAAAATCTGCTGTTGTTCAAAATACCACCAAACACCGTTTAAAAAGCAATAATTTTTTCCAATATCGTTTTTTGGTTGTTTAGCGGTAAACAAACAGGAACAACAAGAAAAAAAATGTAACTGAAAATTTGAAAATAATTTTCCCGAGCAATAAAATTTGAAATGATTTTTTTTCTTTTTGAAAAAAGTTTTTCTAAACAGAAACAGATCGAGTGAACAAAATCGATACCAAAATCCCAAACAACAACAACTTTGTTATTATGACAAGTTTTGATTAAGTTTTCTTTGGTTCAAAGCTTGGTAGTCCATTTTTTCTTTGTTGAGGTCTTTCTGCTTGAATTCAGTTTGACACACACACAATAAACACAACTAAGAAGAAACTTTGGTTTCAGACTAGCCAGAGAGAGAGAGAGAGATCATTTTACATCCTAAATGATGAATCATTATTGAATTGAGTTCACAGCTTGAATACTTTGGTTTGGTTTGGCTGAATGAAATTTTTTAAAAAGATTTTCTCCCAGTAAACTTCTCTGTTGTCATCATCAATCGATATTGATATTTTTGACCAAGAATAAATTGAAATGATGCTTTCTTTCGGCTCTTTTCTAAAGAAACTTCTGAAACATTTCTTTAGGAATCTTTTCTTTTAGCTCCTGATTATATCATCAACTTTAAATGATTCGTGTGTTGTTGTTGTTGTCTAGATTCTCATGTTGAAATGTCTTTCGATTATCATCATCATCATTTGGTTTGATGATAATCATCAACATGATTGTCATCAACAACAACATCTAATGTTTTTCTTTTTGGTTTGTTTGTGTCGAAATGGTTTCTTTAAAAAAAAAATTTTATCAATTTTAAAATTGGAAATTTTCCCAAAAGTCTAGACTTGGGTAAGAAATTAGTTTCCGAGAAATTTCTTTTATTTAAGCAGCAAAACAATCTGAAGAAAGAACCGCAAAATATTTTTTTTTTCTTCATATTTTTATTAATGTTACAAACGAATGTGGAAAAAGTTGTTTTCTCAGTTGCCTGCCGAAATATTAAATGTTTTTTGTGCCAAAAACAATTTCCGTTTGTCGTTTTTTCGTTTCCGTGTATAGTGATGGTTGTTTATTTCCGCTATGCGTTTACCGGAAAGTTTACTGAAAATTTTTTGTTTCCATACAATTTCCTTCAATACAAATATGATCGATATGATTTTTGATTAACAAACCAAATTTGAATGAAATTTTTTTTTTTTGGACAAAAAGTTTTTTAAGAAAAAATCATCAAGAGAAATTCAGCAGGAATTCACACACAGAGTGGAAATGAAATGATATTCGATGGAATTCCATCCAAACAACAACAACAAAGAATGGCCAGAACAAATGAATTCCAAGAACTTTTTGAAATAGCCGCCAATAATAATAATAATATTATTTTGAAATAGCCGCCTATGGATTGCAAAAAAAAAGCTTTTTCGATTCTTTCATTTCGATTTTTATTTATTGAATTTCTTTTTTTTTCATTTTCGGGTTGTGGAAAAGTCCAAGCAAGAGAGAACAATTGATTATGTAACGTTAAATAAACGTTATGAAGAAAAAAAAATTGATGTAAGTTTCCTATTTTTCGGTTTTGGCGAAGGAAAAATTTTCTCTCTCGGTTGGTCCAGAGTTAATGGCTCTCTCTCTCTATTGCTTTTTTAACACCATCATCATCACCAACATCATCATAAGATTCACAGTAACCGATAAAACACCAACCGAAAAAAAATCTATACTTTCAAAGTAATTCTCAATTGCAAAAAAAATTTACTTATAGTGATTTTTCTTTCTTTTTTCTGATAAAAGTATTGATAGGAAATGTGTGTGTGTGTGTGGTGCCAATGCTTTTAACAAAACGTGAGAAGAGAAATGAAGAAAATCACGATAATAACGAAATTTGATGAAAGTTAATGAATTAATTTGATTTATTGCCTTTTTTGCTTTTGGCTGCTGTTTGAAACACTTTGAACAGATACTTTTGCGTGCTTACGTTAGTTAACTTTAATTTTCGTTTCATTTCTTTTTTTTGAAACCAATAAATTTTTTTTGGTTGGATCCGGTGGTTATTATATGTATATGGCAAAAATTTATGTCTTTTTAACCCGGCCATCATATTTTAAGGATAAAATATTAACCAAAAAAAATAAGAAGCTCTATCAAAAAATGTCAATGTTTATTATTATTATTAACACTGAGTTACATACACTGGGATCATTATTATGCGATGAATTTTTCAATCCCCTCTCTTCAAATTTATCGATATTGACATTATTGGTTATATTGGTGGATGATGATGATTATGATGAATAAGTTTTTCACTCTTTCACTCATACAATGTGCTATGGAAGGCTATCATTTTCAATGGAATTTTCAATTTTTCTTCTTTTCAAAACAAAATTATGGATAACAAATTTCAGAGAGAGAGAGGATTTCATCAACAACAATGCCATACACAATTTAAATGCCATTAGATTTTTTTTTCTTTTTGTATTCTCTAATGGGAAGGCATAGTTTTTTTTATTGGGCGCCCAGTTAGGAGCAGTTAATAAAAGTTGTTCTCTCTCTCTCTCTCTCTCTCTCTCTCTCTCTCTCTCTATGGATGCCGCCAGTTTTTTGTTAACCATCATTATCCAGATATCAAGGACAAAACGAAAAAAGTAGAACAAAAAACCCAAAAGAATAAAAAAAAACTCAAAATCAAGCTTCTTCTTGTTCATCATAATCATCATGAAAGTTGTTGTATAGTTTCCTGTCCTGAATGTGAATCGTGTGTTTTTTTTCATTTTTCTTTCTGGGTAAAGTTCTAACCAAAGAGAATACCAACCAAAATATTGGATCGATATTAATAATATTAATAATGATGATGATCATCATCATCATCATCCAGAATCCAAGAGAGAAATTTATAATGTAATAATAAAAAAATGAAAAACAAGTGAAAAAACGAATGAAAAAAAAGTGAATCGCGAACAAAAACAGCGGCCAATGAAAGAATTATGAAAAAGAATGAACTCAAACGAAGAGAAGAAAAGAAGAATGAAATTTTTTCTTTTTCCAGTGATAAAACACAAACCAATGGAAAATGGTAATGGTAATAGTGAATGGTAAATGAATGAATGAATTCTTTACACACACAAAATGCACATTTTTGTTTTTGTTTTAGGCTTAGTTAGATTGGACATTAATAAATTATTTAACAAAAAAAATTTGGAAATGGAAAAGAAAGATGTATATATTGGATGTTTGTGTACGTGTGTTATACAATGTAAATTGGAAGAAGGAAAAACAACAACATTATCAATTCTGTGGATGCATAAATCCCATAAAACAATCTTATAACATTCATCAATTATAAATGATGAACAAGAATGAATGAATGAAAGTTTTACCGAAAGAAAAATATGAATTTTCTTCAGCGGAGTGAATGATGAATTAATTCAATGAAGAAAATTCCAAAACCTGGATCAATCAAAAATCAAATTGAAAAAAACGAGGGAAAAAAAATTATCGATAAAGTATTAATCGATAACCAAGAAATACTCATTTCTGAAATAAAGAATCGGAAAAAACTAAACCAGAAGAAATTTGAGCAGAAACAGAATATTCTTTCATTTAGTTTTTTACTGCTGTTTTGGTTCTAGTAAAGTAAAATGAAAATAATGATTAAGATCAAGTTACGACGCCCTTAACGTTGGTGATGGTGNTAAGAGTGTTAATATCATCAACAACGATATGACCGACCCGGAATAAAAAAAATGAATGAATTTTTTTGCTCTTCACTTAACACTTGATTCTATCGTCATCGTCGTCGACGTAAAAACAAAAACGAAAAATACACAGGAAAACAGCGAATAACGAAAAAAGTTGAAAGTGATGAATGTGAACTGTGATTAGATTAGAGATTTTCATCACCAACATCAAACTATTATTATCATTATTTTTTTTCTATCAGATTTTCATCTCCTGTTTCATTCAAACTTTCACGCTTTTTGTTTCCTAGATTTATGAGGAATTTTGTTCGTTTGAAAGTTTTTTTCGCTGTTTTTTTGGAACATTCAGGGTTATTTTTTCAGGCAGATAAAAAAATAACCCTTAGTGATTATGTGGGGAATTTGAATGGCAAACGAAAAAAAAGAAAGAAAAAACACTTACCTGAAACACAACGATAATGTACTTCCAAATATTTTGCTGTACCTGGACATGGATCACCAAATATTAAACTTGATGCACGTATTGAGCAATGTTTTTGATTTGCACATCTATATATTTATTTTTGGGAAAGTTTCCGGGAAAGAAAAAGAAAACGGAAAAAGAAAGAAAAAATGAATTTCAAATTAATTAAATCATCAAAGATATTAATATAATCCAAAAAAAAATTGCATTTTGATGAAAAATGAGAAAATTTCCAAGAAAAAAAGAAAAACATTCCGAAAAGACAATTGAGAAAGAAAAAAGAAAAGAAAATCCTTGATGATAAATTGGGTTGGCCAAACAAGAGAAAAAAAAACATTACTGGAATTGCAATGATGAACAAAAAAAAAAAACAGAATATTCCCATTCAAAATACAGTAGTCAAGTAAAGTGAAATACTTTTGGCCATCGATCTTTTGAAAGAAGAAAGAAAACCATCATATAATTCATCATATCCAAAGTAATATTAATATATATTATGACAAATTGATGAATGAAATGACGACCGAGAGAGAAAAAAAAGCAAACAACGAAGAAATATTTATTTATTTCGTTTGTTTTTTCCCCCCATTGGATCTGTACAGAGAAAATCAGGAGAATGCAATGAAGTTTAGTTCGAGTTTTTCCAGTATTTTTTCTGGGAAAATTATTATTATTTTTTTTTCCCGATATGATTTTTCGATCTCACATCACAAAGTAAGCTCAAATAACAT